GGAGGCTGAGGCAGGAGAATTGCCTGAACCCAGGAGGCGGAGGTTGCGGTGAGCCGAGATCGCGCCATTGCACTCCAGCCTGGGTAACAAGAGCGAAACTCTGTCTCAAAAAAAAAAAAGAAAAAGAAAAAGAAAATGTAAAGACCCATAAGCAAAAGGAACTTAACCTACAAAACCCTTCCTATCAGAGATAGCCTCTATTAATATGTTGTGTATAGAAAAATGTTTTTCTCTACACACATATACATTTTTTCCTTCTGAAAATAGGATCAGGCTATTCATTGTGTTTTTCAAGTTGATCCTGACATTTAGCAACATACTTAAAAAAAATCTCTCTGTGTTAATAAGTACACTTATATAGCATTGATTTTAACAGTTACATGGTAATCTGTTGTTTAGGTGCATCCCCTATGGCTGGATAGTGACATTTATTTTTAACTATTAACAATCTTATAAATATACTATGTGCAAACACGTATTTTTGTAAGGCTTCTAAGTGCACAGCCAGCAGCAATTCAGCAGGAGTAGGGAGGAAGAGCTGTCACATCCTTCTTTGCAGATGCATGCATTAGGCAAGCTCTTCCTAACAATCAGATGGTTGTGGGGAACCACTTGATTCCCCTATAGTGTATGACTCCCACGGTCCCAGTCACAACTGAAGGGATTGGCATCCTTTTCTCCCCTAAAGGCAACCATCTGGAAGTGGCCCAAAACCTGTGAGGGGGCAGGAGACCCTTTCCCTGAGAGGAATTCCTATCCTGGGTGGTGGGTGGACAAGCTGAACAGATTCTCCCTCAAGTCACTCAATACAACACACACACGAGGGCTTTAGTCAGCAAGGGCAAGAGCAAGCAACAGTGGGTTACCCCCAACCTGAGAGAGGAAGGAATCCTATCCAGTGTGATTCCCAGAGCCGCCCTCCCTGGTTGCAGCTAGTTTAACCTGGAAGGTGAAGGGAGGCCTCTAGAGCCAGAGAACCTGGCTTTGGATCCCCTCCATCACTTCCTGCCTGGAAGATCTCTGGCTAGTCCCTTTGCCTCTCTGACCCTGAGTTTCCTCATCTGAAAATGAGGAGATCAATACCTACTACAAAAGGTGACTGTGAAAACTAAATAAAATAATATATTAAAAAGCCTTTAGAAGAATGCCTGGTGTAGAACAGGTAGTATTATGCCTCTGCTGGGAAGGTTTGTTTTAACTAGAACCACAGGAGTTTAAAGAGTGCTATAGGTCACTGATATCTTCAAGGACAAACTGGTGACTTCAGATACCCTGCTATTATTAGTTTACTCTTTAGGTGTTTCTGTTTCCTCTACCAGCTTGGCAAACTCCTTGAGGGCATGAACTCTGTCTTCTGTTCCATTTTACCCTCCATTGTTCCTTTGCAGGGTAAGCTCCCAATCCGTGATTGATTCTGCTGATTGGTGAGAGTGACTGTGTCTTTTCCTCGTTGAGCCAGCACAGTCAGTTTGAACCAGTGTAGTGGGCAGCTGGCCTGGTAGCCTAGCTCTCCTCCCTCCATGACAGCCTTCCAGAAGGAACTCTTCCTGGAAGGCGGAGCACAGCGGCCCTCAGCAGCAAGTGGAAGCTTTGTGTGCAACACAGAGCCAGCCAAATTCTTGGGACTGGAAATTGTCACCTATTTCAGTTTGCAGGCTTAAAAAAACATCCCCATTGAAGCTGACCCAGAGCCTCCTATAGTATGTGCCAGAGCTAACAAAATGTAGAGGTGCACGTCTGTTTTAGGGACTCCTCCCTTCAGGAAGGCCTGCTTCCTGAGAGGGCCTGAAAGTCACACACCCGGGCTTCCCTTTCTGATGTGTCCTGAGGCTAGAACCCCAGACAAATAAATGGAATGAAGTAATGTAGTCAGTGAAGTCGTTGGTCCTTCTCACCCCTTCTGTCTCCTCTGAACCTGTCTACTGATCTACCTCGGCCACTAAACATGGGCCTTTAAGGCCTAATTGCCCAGCAGCTGCCAAGACCCTGGCTTCACAGTAGCTGGAGAGAGGCTCAGCTAAACGGGACAACTAGAGAGGAAGGAGATCCTGAGGAGCAGCAATTCTGGAGCTAAAGGTGTCAGAACACAGAGATTCGAACTTTTTTTTTTTTAAACATGCCTCTGTCCCATTTATTAGACTGGGAGAGTTGCATATTAACATGCATACTAATAATATTAAACGCTAAAACATAGCACATACCATCTGCCGATTACTATGCCACATGTTTTACACATATTAACTCACTGAATCATTATCAAAAACCACTGAAGTAGATAGTGTCATTACCTCTATTTTACAGATGAAGAAACTGAGGCACAGTAATTTGTTTAAGGTCTCACAGCTACTAAATGGCACACCAGGACATGCACATAACTCTATTGCTATGGTTTGCAACTGTCCCCTTTGAAACTTACGTTGAAAGTCACTCCCCAGTGAAACTCTATCAGGAGGTGGAGCATTTAAGAGGTGACTGAATCATGAGGGTTCTGCCCTCATGATTGGATTGACTAGTCCATTCACAGGTTAATGGGTTAATAGGTTCATTGTGTGAGTGGGTTAGTTACAAGAGTGGTTCTGTTATAAAAAGCCAGGTTGATTCTCTCTCATGAACCCCTCACCACGTGATGTCCCAAGCTACCCTGGGACTCTGCAGAGAGTCCCCACAACAAGAAGGCCCTGACTAGATGGAGTCCTTTGTCCCTGGACTTTTCAGCCTCCAGAACTATAAGAAATACATTCCTTTAAAAAAATTACCTAGTCTCAAGTATTTAGTTATAGCAAAAGAAATCAAACTAAGACACCGACTAGAAAGCTTTTTCAAATCTAAATGTGATCTTCTATACATGTGGAGATTCAATTCTCATAGTAACTCTCTAAGCTATGTTAATGTGGTCTCATTTTACATATGAGAAAACTGATGGGCAGAGAAGTTAAATATGTTCAAGTCCCATAATCAACAAGTGGTGAATATCAAGCCAGGCCTGTGTGGATCTACCACACCCTGACGCAAAGAGGAGACATTGCAAAAGAACAGGAAAACGCTTAGTGGGCTTAGGAAAGGAGGCCACTAAACCACAACCGGGAATATGCTACCCTGCTGGAGGCAGCACCCAGGCACAGCAAAGGGTGGAGGCTCCGGAACCAATCTGATCACCTGCCCGGTTGCAACTTTCAAATCACACCAATTAGCCAGATTGGTGAGCTGATTTAAATCCGATAGGGGCAGATTTCTAAACACCTTTTAGAAAGGTAAACCTGGCAATGCTTAAAAACTGGCTCTAAATGCAGACAAATCTCAAGTCGAAAAACCTCCAAGCTTTACACGCTGCTCACTTTCTAAGCCATCTAATTTTTTTTCTTTTCTTCTCTCCTTCCCGGTTAGGATAATTAAAATCTTAGAATCATAGACCTGGAAGGAACTTTAGAGATGACTTAGTGCCTCTCTGCTTGCTTTAAGGCTACTTACAGCAACAGTTACCTCCCTCTGTATGTTTAAACCTTTTCTCCCTGACAGAAGAAGGTATGCCCTTGTGAATGGGGCTGAGTGATCAGCTAGTGACAGAGCTATTTTAAGACACCTGCCTGGAATCTCACAATGGAGGCTAATGCAGAAGCTGCCTCCTTAAAGATGGCTTTGTCTACCAACCCCCCACTACCACCACCACCAGCCCAGGTCCTCACCAGGGAGGGCCAGAGGGTCTTCTCTGCCTTTTCCAAACCTGAAGGAGTACTTGGAAGGGTCACCAGGAATACAGAAAGAATAGGCTCTATTAAGGAACTCACATGTAGATAATAACAGTAAGACAAGGTTGTGTTAACAGACTCTTGTAAAGAGTTTTATATGAGCACCCAACCCAAAAACTACCAGTGCCTGCAGGGATCCAGAAACCTCACCAAGGAGGATGCCCAGGGAAGGAACTGAGGCCCAGGGAAGCTGCAGGCCCAGGAGGTTTCTCCACTGAAGGCAGGCAGCACTGGTTTTGCAACCTGACTTTCCCCTTGCTAGCGTGGGTACCTTGACACACCTTGGCATTCCCAGCCTTTATTTTAATTGTGCAGCTGTCTGATTGGGTGGCTCTCTACACTAAAATGGAAATGATAACGACTACAAAATTGAAATACACTGTAGACAGATTATTTATCACCACCATCAAGCACTCACTGATTACCCAGCTCCTTTTAAATTAAGTGAGTTTGACCAATGGAGTGGAGGCATAGACCGAACTCAGCATCTCTGGGTCCCTCCCGACTGTAGCTAAGTTCCCAGCCATGGTACTGTTGAGGCCCTAAGTTCCCATGGTCAAGATCTGACTATGGCACCCACAGGCACATCAGGACAACAATAATCTTAGTCCCACACCAGTTATTTCTCAACAGAAGCTAACACCTTACATTGGTTGTCTGCTAAGCATCAGGCACTCTGATGAGTGCTATATACATGTTATATATATACAATGAATCAGGTACATTAGTATGACTATTTCATAGATGAGGACATTTAAAAGATTAGGTCATTTGCCCAAGGTTCCCCGACTGAACCATGAACTCCAGGAGAGTAAGGACTGCTTTGTTTCTGATGCCTCCCTCAGACCCAGAACAGTGCTAGACACAGGGAAGATGTTCAATAAAAAAAAAAAAAAATCCCTAAATGGATGAGTGAACAAGTACTACATACTGGAGCAAAGAGGAATGTGTTCTCCAGAAAGGGAATGGGAAATATAAATGGCCAAGCAGAGAGGAAGGTATTCTCTAGGCTAACTAGAAGAGCCGTGATATCTACAGCTCTTTTAACCTTCCCTTTCTCCGGGTAGGTTTCCCATTGAGTATTTTCAATGGGAAATATCTAACTGCTCTGTGGGTGTACATGGCTGGTTGCTAATTTTGGAACACTTGTGAATCCTGGGCCCAGAGTCATGACCAATACTGGTGAGTCATACTCCTCACAGAGTTCCCTACACACTGGCTGTCAGAAAAAAAAAAAAAAAAAAGATGGGGGTCGCAAAACAGAAGTTGCCATCTTGTCCCCTGCCATAGCTGTCTCATTTTACCTTCTGAAATGATGGAGGAAGTTCTGCTGAGGATGGGGTCAGGATAACAGCAGACTTTTGGATAATCCTGCACCCCCAGAAACCTGCAAAGTACAGGGGCCCTCTTGGTGGTCTCCTCCTGGATGCCTTGCTTTCTCCTGGAAGAATCCTCCCTTCTACCCCAGATACCACTGTGAACTGGTAAGTGGCAGAACCTTCTTTCTGGCAGGCAATGTCTACTGTGCCATCCTAGGCAGGTATAATACATAAAACAGTCCAGCACAGTGGCTCACACTGGTAATCCCAGCACTTTAGGAGGCCGAGGCAGGTGGATTATGAGGTCAGGAGTTCAACACCAGCCTGACCAATATGGTGAAACTCCATCTCTACCAAAAATACAAAAAGAAAATTGGCCGGGCGCGGTGGCTCAAGCCTGTAATTCCAGCACTTTGGGAGGCCGAGGCGGGTGGATCACAAGGTCAAGAGATCAAGACCAGCCTGGTCAACATGGTGAAACCCTGTCTCTACTAAAAATATAAAAAATTGGCTGGGCATGGTGGCGCATGCCTGTAATCCCAGCTACTCAGGAGGCTGAGGCAGAAGAATTGCCTGAACCCAGGAGGCAGAGGTTGCGGTGAGCCGAGATCGCACCATTGCACTCCAGCCTGGGTAACAAGAGCGAAACTCCGTCTCAAAAAAAAAAAAAAAAAAAAAAAGAAAAAAGAAAAGAAAATTAGCCAGGCCTGGTGGTGCACGCCTGTAATCCCAGCTATTTGGGAGGCTGAGGCAGGAGAATCGCTTGAACCCGGGAGGCAGAGGTTGCAGTGAGCCGAGATTGTGCCATTACACTCCAGCCTGGATGAGATAGCAAGATTCTTCCTCAAAAACAACAACAACAACAACAAAAACATAAAATAACCTGTCACTTGGGACCATTAGCCTCTTTAATAAAGGACAAATTTCATTCCATACTAGAGAGAAAGGTTTTAAAATACAAGTGTCCTGGAGAGAAGAAACCTGTTGACTTAAAGTCATACAAAGGTGCACAGACTTGACAGCAACCCTTTCCAGGGCAGAAAGAAGGCAGAGGGTTCAGGGGATAGAACTCTCAATCACAGGCTGTTGGGTACTTCAGATACAACCTGTGGAATCTCATTCAGGTTGAGGGTTATTCAGGCTCTTTTGCTGGGCCATGGTAGATGGCTAAGTCTTTGCTTCCAGGTTCTCTTGATCACGAGACATGTAGCGCCAGGGAGAAAAGAGAAAACCCAAACCAGGTCAGTGTTACCTGTGAATGACACCTTGATCAAGTTCTGAGAAGAGGAGTGATGATGCTGAAGGTTAAGTGGAGGTTTTCATTCCTCTTCAGATTTTGACTTTCATAACTCTGCCGTCTCTTTACTGTAGAGAACTGAGAAAGGATAATATTTGAGTGTGTGAGGAGCTTCCAGCTGCATAAGCAGATCATGAATGTTCCCAGGGCCAAGTCCTCAGCCAAGAGTGCCCCAGGAGTTTCATTCCTCCTGATCAACCTGGGTAACACAGGCATAAGAACACAGAGAGAATTGGTGCTCTTAAAAATAGATCTGACTTGGAAGTCTTTAGATAACTGAGGATTATGAGATGGGAGCGAGCTACTTTGCATCTCCATCTCTGTTAACAGGAGAACTTGACAAAATGGGCATGAAACTAAAGGGATTTGGGCTTGCTAAGTAAGAGCTTCTAAAAGGTAAGAAAGCTGCTCAAAAAGAGGATTGGCTTCTCTGTAGCAGGATGGACTCTTACTTGACTGGGATGGTCACTGAAATGCAGCCTACCTTGACATAGAGTAAATCCTTGTTCTTCAAAGTGTGGTCCCCAGATCAGTAGCAGCAGCATCAACTGGAAACTTGTTAAAGATGCTGAGACCCCACCCTGACCTCCTAAATAAGAATCTCCTTTCTACCAAAGTTCCCAGGTAAAATGCCTGAACCTTATGGACTGAGAAGTGCTGGGCTAAATGACCCTTGCAGATTCCTCCTGTGGTGGTTAACACTGAGTGTCAACTTGATTGGATTGAAGGATGCAAAGTACTGTTCCTGGGTGTGTCTGTGAGGGTGTTGCCAAAGGAGATTAACATTTGAGTCAGTGGACTGGACAAGGTGGACCCACCCTCAATCTGGGTGGGCACCATCTAATCAGCTGCCAGTGTGGCCAGAATAAAAGCAGGCAGAAGAACGGGAAAGGAATAGACTACTTTAGTCTCCCAGCCTACATCTTCCTCCCATGCTGGATGCTTCCTGCCCTCAAACATCAGACTCTAAGTTCTTCAGCTTTGGGACTTGGACTGGCTTCCTTCCTCCTCAGCTTGCAGCCAGCCTATTATGGGTTGTCATCTTGTAATCATGTGAGTCAATCCCCTTAATAAACTCCCCTTTATATATAAATCCATCCTATTAGTTCTGACCCTCTCGAGAACCCTGACTAACATATTTCCTACTTGAGGATTTCATGAGCTGCCCCTAGTTGAGAAGTGGTGCAGCCCCACTGGCAAGGAAAGCATGGCAGCTAAGAAGGTGCGAGGCAGGCTGGCATTCCCCTCTCAAGCCACAGCTCTCCACATGCCTGTTGCTACAGTACACCTTTCTCCTCAACCTCAAGGGTACCACAGCTCCAGGTCCTCTGAACACACAAGACTCCCTGCAGCAAATACCTGGAAGCCCCAGTAGCTTGTAGAGATTATCTATGCCTCCCTCAGACCCATAGAGGACTCCCAGAGCAAGGAGGGATGTAGGCAGTCCAGTGGTCTCTGCAGATCCTAGCTGTCCTCTCACTTGTAAGAGCTATCTGCATGCCTCCCTGCTCATTTATCTGGGGGTCACAGATGACAGGGAGTGCCCAATTTCTCATCTATTGAAAAATCATAAGGCAACTAATATATTTTTGCCAGAAGATTTTTAAAAAGTCATTTTTGCATGCATTATTCATAAATACCAATGAGAAAAAGAACATCCAAAACTAACACAGAGAGTAAGGGGTCTCAAGACATGGTCAACAACCCTGTTGACTAAGAGGATCTAGCTCACAGACACACACACACACAGTGTGTTCACCCAGCTGCTGATATTAACTACTGCTTTAGTCACCTCAGGCTGCTGTAACACAATACCAGAGACTGGGTGGCTCAAACAACAGATAGCAATTTTCTTACAGTTCTGGAGGTGTCTTGCAGCCCAAGATCAAAGTGCCAGCAGATGTGATGCTTGGTCAGGCCTCTCTTCCTGGCCTGCAGACGGCTGACTTCTTGGTATGTCCTTGCATGGACTTTCCTTGGTGGTACCCATGGAGAGACAGAAAGCAAGCAAGCTCTGGGCTCTCTTCCTGTTCTTATAAGGGCACTAATCCAATCATGGGGCTCTGCCCTCAGAACCTCAACTATTAATAGTATCACCAGGCTGGGGATTAGGACTTGAACTTATGAAGTTTGGAGGGACACAAACATTCATTCCATAATAACAACCAAGGTAGTAGACTTCAGAGTGATTGTTTTCTAATCCATATTTTCCCCCTCAAATCATGTGTTCTTGGCTAATACTAATATTGAGTGCCCTAAGACTACATGTTAGAGAAATAGAAAATTTTAGATCATCTATCTTCATAATAACTAGTAGTGCTGTAGAAATGCAGTTCATCATTCTCTAAAGTCTCTCTATTCTACCATTTCTGGTGGGCTGTGGTCCTGTGGTCAGGTCAAATAGAAGCTGCACTTAATATTTATTCACAATAAGGACAGCAGTTGAGATCAGGGCTCTACAGTTGGAATGACTGGGTTCAAATGTGATTCCATGACTTCCTACCTGTGACCTTTCCAAACTTTGATTTCCCATCTATAAAATGGAGGGAATTATAGTGCCTTCTATCATTGTATATCATTATATAATTGTGAGGGTTAAGTAATACACGAAAAGCCCTGCTACAGGGTAGACACTAAATACACAGCGACTATTACTATTGCTGCAGTTGGTATCATTGGTAAAGTTACGTTGTTCTAGTTCATATGTGCTCTTTCTACTGTCAGGCCAAGATTTACAAGGAGCAGGGATTAAGAATCCCTCAACAGACTTCCTCTCATCTTCTTGAGGTTACAAAACCTTCTGCTTCAAGTAACTCAGGGAGCTGCCAATGTAAGGCTCTGCTCTTGAGGGGGCATAAGAACTGTTGTGGCCTCTTGCCTGTCTACTGCCCCCAAAACTCCTCCAAAGTCCTGGGCACCTAGTAAAACCTGCAGCACAAGTTAGGTCTTTTTTTTAGGGAAGCCAAGAGTCCTCTTCTTCCTCCCCAAGCCTCATTGCCCCACTCTGGTGAGCAGCGATCTTTACTCACACTTTGACTACCCACTGCCCATTTCCCCTTACATGACTCTTCACCCCTGAGCACATATATGTCCTGCACTGGCCTTCAAGAGTGATCTTTCACTTCAGCTTTCATTTCTTCCAGGATTCCCTAGGATCAACCATCTGAGCACGTACCTTGAAATGTCCCCAAATTTCAGAGGTAAGTCACTGGTACTTTCCCAGTGTGGTAGGCATCATTACTGCCCTGCCCCTGTGGGCCTAACCATATCCGTGACATCAAAATGTGGTGTCATAAATGTGGTGTCATATCTCATGGAAGACCCACACCCCCAGAGTCCTTCATCCCATTCCCTTTATCCAGTGCTCTTAAATGTCTTGGCCTGCCAGGTAAAGGCCTATAAAAGGCCTGCTCCTCTTTCAGCCACTCCCAATCAATCTGCCAATTATCTCTTCCAGGAAGCTTCCTGCTTTCTCTCCCAAGCTAAGCTGGATTAGGGATCCCTACATTGAGCTCACCCTGTACTTACCTCTATTGTTAACCTCTGTATTGGAATGATCTGTGTCTCCATCTGCCTCCCACACTAAACTGAGTTCCAGGAGGGGTGAGGCCATGTGTTTTTCATCTCTATATCTCCAGCATTTAGACTGTGCCTAATATATAGTAAGCATGCAGTACATATTGAAAGAAAGAAAGAAAGGTGTGGGGGGAAGGAGAAGGGAAAGATAGAAAGCAAGGAAGAAAAAAAGAAAGAGAAAAGGGGGAAGGAAGAACAAGGAAAGAATAAAAGTCATAGGAAGGGCGCCGGGCATGGTGACTCAAGCCTGTAATCCTAGCGTTTTGGGAGGCTGAGGTGGGTGGATCACAAGGTCAGGAGTTCAAGACCAGCCTGGCCAATATGGTGAAACCCCATCTCTACTAAAATACAAAAAGTAGCCTGGTGTGGTGGCATGTGCCTATAGTCCCAGCTACTTGGGAGGCTGAGGCAAAAGAACTGCTTGAATCCAGGAGGCAGAGATTGCAGTGAGCCAAGATTGTACCACTGTACTCCAGCCTGGGTGACAGAACAAGACTCCATCTCAAAAAAAAAAAAAAAAAAAAGAAGCCATAGGAAGAAGGAAATAATGAGAATAGGCTGGATCTAATTCTGTAATAATTCCCAAAGGCCCTGAACAGTGCAGTTAAAGCCCATCCTCCTCTATATTTAATCTTCTAACATCTCCTTCTCTGTTATTAGTATAAACACAGAAAAAGTTTATATGGGACCATTAAAATCATTGGCCAAATAATCATGATGGTTCCTGGAGCCCTAGGCCATCAGAAACCCCTATAAAGTCCTCTGTACTGACAGCAGGGCATAAAACCATCATCAAACACAAACATTGAACCTTTTCCTGGTCACAGATACATGCTTTACTCAATGGCCAAGGTCAGTCACTTCTTGTGTACATGAACCCTCCCCGGCCCGGCCCACCCCAGCTGACAAACATTTCCACACACATCCAAGGAGAATGGGAGAGAGACCAAAAAGCTCTTAGGAATTCAGTGTCACCTTACAGGTATCACCACAAATGGAGAGGGGCAGGAACCCAGAAAGGCAAAACAAAACAACCGGATAATCAAGAAAGTATCCACGTATGTACACACACACCTACTCAACAGTTTAACTTCCCTAATAATGTTTTGCTCTGATTAATAATTAAATGACCTGTGTATTTTGAATAAAAGCCAACTACTTCTCAGCGAGGAGAAGTGGTAGAGAAGCGTATCACCGAGGTCAGCCTGGGATGAAAATGAGCCAGTCCACCATACAGAAAGCTTCTTGCATTCCTTCCCTGTATCTTCTTAACATTTTTAACTCAAATTTACTTAATTCAAAATTTTAAGTCAGAATTTTAGAGATTAGAGATGAGGTGTGGAGAAAGTTCACTTTACCAACTTTGGTCTATTCCAGTCAATTCAGTCATTGTTCTTTCCACATAGAATTGAAGCAATAGTTTAACCCTGAAGCCTGAGCTAAACTCTGTTGGCTGTGTTTAGAAGACAGCTCTCCTTGGCTTTGTGGGCTAACCCCCACGGGTCCTCTCTCGCCCCCTTATGGATACCATGCCATCCCTCTGAACATAGTATACATTCCTCATGATGCATTGTGGTCAGGAATTTAATTACTGACCACAAATTATATGGGAATTGCCTTTCAGGGAATTGGGAAAATGAGTGTGATTGCAGGAAAAGATAATCTATTATAGACTACTTTGAAAATCATGTCAGATGTTAATCTTGTATATGGGAAGAGAGGGAAAGATTAAGTTAGAATCAGCAGTAGGTCGGAGGGATGCCAACTAGTGCTCAGGTAAGGAGGGTGGGAAAGAGGGAAAGGAGCATGTGAAGGAAGAAGGCATATGTGGACAAAAGGCACATGCCACAAGGAATCATCCTCCCCAAATCGTAGGAGGGCAGGTGCTTCCCAGGAGGGCACCGTGTCACTCTGCAGGCGCCCACGAGGCATGGAAGCAGGTGCCTGCCCGTGCCTGCCTCTTTCCCATTCTCCTTTTCTGTCTTCCTTCTTCTCTCCCTGCCTCCTTTCCTTCCATCCACTTTTATTGACCACCTGTGTGTTAGGCGCTGTGGAGGTGGTGGAAATAAAAAAATAACAGACAAGTCTCTAATGTCCAGTCATTAAGCAGTAAAGCTAGTAACCAACCAGTTCAGCAAGACAACTATACAATCATATCACAGGGCCTGTGTTAATCAACGTGGCGGGGCCCCGTGTGCCTCAGCAGAGGTCGTGGCCATTTCCACCTGGGAGTCAACAGTTGATTTCAGGAACAACGTTGTTCTCAAAATTTCCTCACACCTATAGCTGTAGAATAAAAAAGAGCAGAGACGTGACAGCCAAATGCAATATAAGACTTTTGATTGGATCTTGTTTGGAAAAAAAACATTTGTTAGAGTGGTATAATGGACTTCAGAGACTCAGAAGAGGGAGGACAAGAGAGGTATGGGATAAAAAACTACACACTGGGTACAATGTACACAACTTGGGTGACGGGTGCGTGAAAATCTCAGATGTTACCACTATACAATTCATCCGTGTAACCAAAAACCATTTGTACCCCAAAAGCTACTGACATTTTTAAACACACACACACACACACACACACACACACACACACAACATCTGTTAGAAGACATATTGAGAAACACTTTGGAAAATTTTATATGATTTAGGATTTGGGAACCAGGGGATATTAGGTAATTATCATTAGTTTTCTTAAGTGTAGCAGAGTCACTGTGAGTATATAGGAGGATGTCCTTATTTTCAAGAGTTGTATGTTGAAGTATTTAGGGATGACATCTGTGTCTTACATTGAAAGAGTTTAGGAAAAATATATATTTGGTAAAATGTATACAACTGTAGATTCCAGATAAGGGATTTCAGTGTCAAATTGTACTATTCTTTCAACTTTTCTCCACATTTGAAATTTTTTTAAATAAAAAATGTGAATAAAAAACTATCTCCACTTGCTACCTATTGCAATAAGGCTCTTGGTAGAGTAAAGCCTTCTGTGTGTCAATTAGCTAACAAATAATCCTAACTAACATTTATCATGTGCCAGGCAATGCTGAGAGCTAACATGCATTCACTGCATTATGAGCTTTTCTTTACAGAGGGAAACCGAGGCTTGGCAAGTTCTTACCCCAAGACACACAGATAGTAACTGTCAAGGCCAGATCCCAGCCTGGCTTTGATCTTAACTGCCACCCTCTACTGACAGCCTCCCAGAAAAAATGTCCGGGTGAAGTAGTGGTAACAGAAATCATGGCCATGAAGGGCAATCTGTCAACTTGTGAGTGCAAACAACCATTCTAAGAGCCTTTCTTGCTTTGATAGGGAGAAAAATGGCTTCGGGGGCTGACAGAGAAGAGGCCATCAGTAAGTGGGGAAAGGGCATGGAAAGAGGAAGTGGGGAAGGGAAATGGCCTCACCTTATGGACCTGCAGCTCTGTGGGGTGAATTAAAGCTGTAAAGCAGGTATTTCTGACTGGAGCAGCAGACAAATGTTTTCTGTTTAGTAGAAAAGTTACTGCAATCAATGCTGCTCCACATCACTAACGAAGGCTGAAAAAAACCCAGCTGAAAGGTATAGTGTGCTTTCTTCCAGAGGGTTGCTTAAGCAAGGTCTCATTGTGCCTGAAGTCTTTATTACTGACTAGCCATTCAGGACGTGCAGTGTGATTGAAGAGAGCAGGGCTGGGCTGCATTGAGTCAGCCATATCCCTTACTCAGTCACCTGTAGGACAGGGCCAGAGAGAGTGGAGGGCAGGGTGTGCCCAGCCAATTGGCCTCTATAGGAATTTCAACCATGACCTCCACCTTATTTGCTCTCTGCTCCAGTCTCCTGACTAACCAGCCAGTGCACGGCACAGCTTGAGTTCCACAGCCAGCCTGGCAGGACCACCATGTAATAGTGCAGGGTCATGTTGTATTTTGCTTTTGGTGTATAAAATGCAAGAACTGGAGAAATCATGTAACAAGTCAGGAGGAGGCACACATTCCAAGCGCCAGCCTTCCCAAATTCAGAACAAAAGCCACTCCTTCAGTGCCCTTTCCTTACAGAGCAGCTTTTCCTGTGAGGAGAGCGTTATAACATCCCGGCTTAGTGGAGTGTTCTGAGTTGTTGGGGTTAACCATCTAGGCAGTGGGTGAAGGGTCCCGTTATGCAGAATGTGGAGACTGCCTCTGAGATGTTTTTAAAACAAACACAATTGTGCCAGCTGATCTCAGTACACATTTCTAGAAAATTCGCAGCCTGTGACATCACAGACCTTCCCTTCAGCCTTGGACCAGCAACAACACACTCTGAAACAGGTCTCAGAAGACGAAAAGCTGAAATAACCCACGTTTCTTGCTACACAGAATCCACTCTGAAAGGAAAAGGAAATTTTACCCGAACTTCAGAAAGCTGCAGAAGTGATACCCATTTTCACAATCCCAGAAGGAAAGTTGCATCTGAGAGGAATAAAAACAGAGCAATAGAAACGTCTTTGTTAAAATAAATGGCTTTCACAGGGCATTTTCTCTAAAGGTCGCCCTTACCTCAAATAGTACTCCTGCCTCCAATCCATCTTGCACACCACACAGCTGTGGGCATCCTGTGAGCTGCTGCCATGTCCTTGCCTAAAAGCCTCAGTGCCCCTACCTCCAACCAACTCACCCGCCCCACAACTGGTCCTCCTTTCTCTGGCTTCTGGAGCAATAAGACTCCCTTCTCCCAGTGAGGGACCTTTCTGAAAGGTAAGCATGAACCCACTCTTCTCTTGCTCAAAAATAGTGGCCTGCTCTCGATTTCCTACAGCATAGAAAGGCACACTTTGGCGGGCACGCCTGCAATCCCAGCACTTTGGGAAGCCAAGGTGGGTGGATCCTGAGGTCAGGAGATGGAGACCATTCTGGCCAACATGGTGAGACCCAATCTCTACTAAAAATACAAAAATTAGCTAGGTGTAGTGGCATGCACCTGTAGTCCCAGCTACTGGGGAGGCTGAGGCAGGAGAATCACTTGAACCCTGGAGGCGGAGGTTGCAGTGAGCCGAGATTGTGCCACTGAACTCCAGTCTGGTAACAGAGCAAGACTTTGTCTCAAAAAAAAAAAAAAAAAAAAAAATAGCCAGGCGTGGTGGTGTGCACCTGTAACCCCAGCTACTTGGGAGACTGTAATCCCAGCTACTTGGGAGGCTGAGGCAGGAGAATCACTTGATGACTTGGACCCAGGAGGCAGAGGTTGTAGTGAGCTGAGAACGTGCCATTGCACTCCAGGCTCAAAAAAAAAAAAAAAAGACAGAAAGAAAGAAAAGAATTATACACTTTATTTGGCACCTGGGCATGGGTATCAGCAGCCTTCCTCCCAGTCACACAGACTCCTCTGAATGCTCGCCCTGTCTTTCCTGTGTGACATCTACCTGTGCCTTTGCACTCACTGTCCCCCATGTTTAAAATGCTCTTCCTCCAAGTCCACAGAGAAAAAGTAGGCTTCAAGACTTAGCCCAAATGCCACCTCCTCAGTGGAGCCCTCCAGAAGTTTCTTTCTCTCTCTCTCTGTCTCTCCACACACACCCTGCTCACCTCCCCAGCCACACAGGTATCACTCCTTTTTTCGGGGCTCTGTTCTGTTCACTGTTCACAGGTCTACCTCCCACACTAGTCTGTGAGCACTCCCTTGGGGGGAGAACCCATAAAGTGCTCCATCTTTGTGTTCCCAGTTCTTAGCACAGTGCCTGGCACCCTGTATGTGCTTCATAGTCTAAATCCCCCAACCAGCAAGGCCAAATTCTGCATTTTCCAAGTTATCCTCAACACTCCATAGGAAAGAGTTCTGCTACCACACAACAATGTATTCTATATTGCCCATAAATTATTACATTTCTCTCCTCCTGGAGATACACACACACACACACACACATATACACATACATACGCACGTATTTTTGTGTATATATATAGCATATTCTAGGATGTAGGCTGGGCACAGTGGCTCATGCCTATATTCCTAACACTTTGAGAGGGCATGGCAGGAGGATCACTGGAGCCCAGGACTTCAAGACCAGCTTGGATGACATAGCGACACCTGCCTCGACAAAACATTTCTTAAAAATTAGCTGGGTGCAGTGGCGTGCACCTGTAGTCTCAAACACTTGGGAGGCTAAGGTGGGAGGATCGTGTAAGCCCAGGAGCTTGGGGCTTCAGTGAACCACGATTGTGCCATTGCACTCCAGCCTGGGTGACAGAACAAAACCCTGCCTCTAAAAAATTTTCTAATTACCAAATTTTAAAAGTTTTGTCCTACTAAACTATAATATGCTTTAGGGAAGTCACTTTTTAAAATTCTGTCCCACCCTTCCACCAATCCTTGGATGTTGTTTTGGATTAATTAATGATTAACTAATTTGTTGACTGACCCTTTAAGATACCAACATCCATTGTTTTAAAATCTGTTAGTTTATGGAAAAAATGTTAGCCTAAAGACTAACTCCATTTGTACCTCATACAGAAGCCTAGAGTTTCCGTAAGGTTTAGGTTGTATATTCAGAAGTTGCAGGAACACAGTGGCCTAACAGGATACAAAGTCCTGGCACTGTGCCTGGCCACCTTCCCTGTTGTCTGTCCTCTTGCTTGGCCTCTTCTCAGGCTGGGCTCTGCTCTCCCTTCCCAGAGCCAAAGGATTCAGAGGCCACCCAAGATTTACACATCGAATTCCTCTCCAATTTTCTTGCCATGACCCTTATGGAGTCTGGCTCTCTGCTGTTGCAGTAATTTTTTTTTTTTTCTTTTTAAGACTGAGTCTCGCTCTATTGCCCAGGCTGGAGTAAAATGGCGCAATCTCAGCTCACTGCAACCTCCACCTCCTGGGTTCAAGTGATTCTCCTGCCTCAGCCTCCTGAGTAGCTGGGATTACAGGTGCATACCACCACACCCAGCTAATTTTTGTATTTTTAGTGGAGACAGGGTTTCGCCATGTTGACTAGCGTGTTGCAGTAATACTGATCCTTCATCAACAGGATCTGCAGCTCTCTAACCTGCCATGGTTCAATGGCTCTAAAGGGGAAAATTAATATACATTGCTTCTTCCAAAGTGACCTTGGAGAAACTCCCGCCCTCGCCCCAAACCATCACCTGTTGTCACTACTTCAGAAATTCTAAGATGAGATTGGGGAAGATAAAGGATAAGTGAAAAATTCTCCCTTGACTTCCACCTGCCACTTGTTATCACCAGCTACTGGAAGAGTCCAGTGGCCTAGAAGGCCTTCAGCTGGGATGGTGTTCTTTCTTTCTTTCTTTCTTTGTTTTTTTTGGTTGAGACAGAGTTTTGCTCTGTCACCCAGGCTGGAGTGCAGTGGCATGATCTCAGCTCACTGAAACCTCTGCCTCCCGGGTTCAAGCAATTCTCCTGCCTCAGCCTCCTGAATAGCTGGGATTATAGGCACATGCTGCCACTCCCGGCTAATTTTTGTATTTTTAGTAGAGATGGAGTTATATATACCATTTTGGTCAGGTTGGTCTCGAACTCCTGACCTTATGATCCGCCCACCTGGACGTCCCAGAGTGCTGGGATTAGAGGCGTGAGCCACCGCGTCCAGCTTTGGATGGTGGTATTCTAGGCAATGTCTCCAGGCTGCTGAGTAGAGCAGTTTCAGCATGGCCTCTGGGTTGAAGCCAAAGGAAAGCAGCTGGTGTCTTTATCCATGACCCTCCTTCCATCTCCATGACCCTGCATTATCCTCCCATGGCCATCCTGCCACAAACACCCCCTCAGAGGCCTTAGCAGAGGGCCAAGAATTTGTTAGTTGAAGGAGAAAACTTGTTTTAATGTCAAACCGACATTCCTAAGGGCTCCTGCAGCCTCCCCTACTGGAATCCTTCAGCTCTTGGGCTTGAGTGTTGGTGAGATGGGAATCTAAGTCTGTGCAGCTATGCAGAGTCAAGGAGTTGCCAGGTGTTAAGGACATGAGGACAGAGATGGACACACATGGGCCAGGCCAGCCTGAGCAGGCTGTAAAAAGTCCTGGCATTGTGCCCCAGCCACCTTCCCCATTGTCTTTCTTAACAACCATATAATCACTGTTAATCCATGGTGGCCCAAATCTAATTCAAGATCCTGAGAACTCCTTCAAAGGGGAGGAGCTAAGCAGGTACCAGCGTCTCAGGGGTTTCAACAGCAGGGATTAGAAGTCAGACTGGGAAGCCGGGCGCGGTGGCTCAAGCCTGTAATCCCAGCACTTTGGGAGGCCGAGGCGGGTGGATCACGAGGTCGAGAGATCGAGATCATCCTGGTCAATATGGTGAAACCCCGTCTCTACTAAAAATACAAAACATTAGCTGGGCATGGTGGTGCATGCCTGTAATCCCAGCTACTCGGGAGGCTGTGGCAGGAGAATTGCTTCAACTCAGGAGGCGGAGGTTGCGGTGAGCCAAGATTGCGCCATTGCACTCCAGCCTGGGTAACAAGAGCGAAACTCCGTCTCAAAAAAAAAAAAAAAAGTCAGACTGGGAATGTCTGAGTTTTGGGGCAGGAAATAAAATACTGAATCTTTGGTGAGAAATGCTGAATTATTGGGCAGGTGCTTGGTCAAAGCAGAATATCATAAAGCAGATTGGGAACAAGGAATGAGGATGCTGAAGTCAAACCATGCTTACTAGCTGCAGAACTACCTTGTTGATGGGCTACAGGCTGAGAGTATCTCCTTCCTCCTACCTGGATCCAGGTCTGCCCCTAGACCTGGAGGCACACCTGACTTCACAGGTGGAGTCCTCCCTATGCTGGAGGTCAGCACCTTAAGGACTGGAACCAAGCCTGGCACACTCTCCACTCAGTGAGTGCCTGATACATGTAGGCACTGGATGAACACTGACTCAGCAAATGACCGTTGTGTACGTTTTTGGGGAGCTGGATCAGGATGCCAGGCACAGCCTCTCTTCCCTAGAAGAGCAGTCAGCTCATCCTGCAGGTTTCACCATAACTAGATATCTGCCTGGACCCATACAGCTCTAGCTTCTGAATTTATCTTGTTTTAACAAACACATCATGCTTGCCACGTGCAGCAAATATAAACCAATTTAATTTTTAACAATCCTTTGAGATAGGTACCTTTACTAACCCCATTTGATAGATGAGAAAACAGGCACAGAGAGGTCAAGTAACTGACCACGGTTACACAGTGATAGAGCCTGGTTATGACCCAAGGCATTCTGGCTCTAGAGTCTGTACTCACAGAGACAAGCATAAAGGTCAGAGGGTCCAAGCCTACCACTATCCACGGTTTAGAATTATGCAGTGTGGATCTATATGACCCTCTAAAAGTCATTCACCATCCCTAGGCATCCTGACAAGTCTGAGATGCTGGTGGTGACTACAAGATATGGAAACAATTCCCACTGCCTTTGCTTGTCTCTGAAATGCAAATGAGACATGCATTGGTAGAGCATTACCTTGTAGGAAAACTCCCTGGGGACTTCTAGATTTGGCCACCCATTGCACAGGGTCAGTTTCATAAAGGCAGGCATGGGTGGGTTGCGGTCGCTTCCGCCTGTAATCCCAGCACTTTGAGAGTGTGAGATGGGTGGATCACCTGAGGTCAGGAGTTTGAGACCAGCCTGGCCAACTTGGTAAAATCCCATCTCTTCTAAAAATTCAAAAATTAGCCGGGCAGGGTGGTGGACACCTGTAATCCCAGCTACTTGGGAAGCTGAGGCGGGAGAATTGCTTGAGCCTGGGAGGCGGAGGTTGCAGTGAGCTGAGATCGCGCCATTGCACTCCAGACTGGCAACAGAGTGAGACTCCGTCCCCACCAAAAAAACAAACAAAATCACAAAGGCAGGCATGTAACCTGTGCAATCACACAGGTCTCTGTGCTTTGAAGGGTCCTGTGCTTGGTTCAATGTGCTGCTATTGCCATCTTGAAATTCCTAATAATTTTTGAACAAGGGCTCTGAGATTTTTATCTTGCATTGGGCCCTATAAATTAGGTCCTGCCTATGCTTGTATGTTGTCCATTAGGTTCATCCTGATTTCCTTTCTCTTGCCCTCCCTCTCTAGCCCACAGGAATCAGCCTCTTATAATCTCTGTAAATTCTTGACATTCTTAGGTGTTAGGAGAGCATGCAGGTCAACTCCAGTTCTTAAGAGTCTCTTATTCTAATCTGTTTCTTCTGAAGCTGATTAGGAATTTTTTTCATAACATCTTAGGCTTCTGATACTCACCCCATCCCTCCCACCTTCTCCCCATGTTGACTTCACTTCTGCTTCTGATCTTTCAGCTCCTTGCCAATCCAGGAGCGAGATAAAGGCCATGAAGGCTGAGGTAGGTTGTTGGCAAAGGAAGCTCCAGCTGAAAGAGAACGTCGCAGTCTTGATTAAAAGAGATTTAAGAGATACCAAATTAAGGTGAGGATCTTGTTGAGATTCTGATTCAAAGAAACCAAATGTAAAAAGACTTTCTTTAGACAATCAAGAAATTTTGAATATGAACTGGGTGTTAAAGGATGTTGACAAATTATGCTTTATTTTGTTGGGTATGAAAAAGGTTTTGTGGTTATGTAAGAAAATGGCCTCATTTCTTTTAGATATCTGTATTGAAGTATTTAGGAGCGTTATAACATGCTATCTAAGATTTGCTTTAGGAGAAATGCCTTAGGAGAAAAAAACTTTAGGGTTGGGAGGGAGAGAGATAAAACAAATGGCAAATACTGAGGTTTTTTGAAGTTGGTGATGGAATTTCTTACACTCTTTTCTTTGTGAAGGTTTGGAAGTTTTCATAAATAGTTAAAAGTGAAAGAGCAGAGGAGTGACAGAGAGAGCATCCAGACCACAGTGTTTCCAGAAGAGTAGAAGCAGATGTTTACTGTTGTTCTATTTCAGTGGCTCAGAGGAATCTCTCTTGTCTCTAAATGAGCTGTTTTGTGTGTGTGTACGACACAACTTTGCCGTTTCCTCTGAAACATAACCTTTGGGGCCGTTTCAGTAACAGTAGGACCGCCTCCACTGAACCATCTCCCCTTACTCTCCTGCCCACTTTCTTTTCTGATAAAGAGCTTATAAGGATATGAATAGATAGGAACTACAGAGGAGCAAATTCATGACCTTAATATATTAGACTCCTTACGAACTGCCTCTAAACCCTGCTCCTCCTCTAAACCCTGCTCCTCCTCTAAACCCTGCTCCTCCTCTAAATCCTGCTTCTCCTCTGGACCTCACTCAAGTGCTACCCTCTGTGACCTTCTGTCCTAATCTCTTCTTCTTGATCTCCCATGGCATTTGCAGCCCAGCGTCTGGTATTTCACCCTCTATTTGGTTCTGAGTTGTTCTCAGTCATTTTGTATGACCCAGTCTTCACTCCCCACCTGGCTGCAGTTTTCTGTATCTGCTACTCCAACAGGTTTTTAAACAGGCCTATTCCACACTGAGCACATTGCAGGCCATTCATTCATAGGTTCATCCATTTATTCCTTCAATTCTGAGCACTTACTCCATGCTAGACATTGTACTAGATGCTGGGAATTCAGCAGTGAACAAGATAGACTCAGTCTCTCTGCCGTGGAGCTCTTTTGGTTGAGGCTGAGAGAAAGAGAGAGAGAAAGAGAGAGAGACTGGTATTAAGTACCTGTATAACAAAGTAATGCATGGCAGTGGTGGTGCGTGCCGTAAACACAGCATCTGTGGTGCCCTGAGTGTGTAGAACAGGAGCCTGCCCTGTTCTGAAGAGTCAGGAAAGGCTCCCTCAGGAAGCGACTTTAGGAAGGAACTTAAAGGAAATATAGTAATTAGCCTGGCACGGAGAGGGGCGGAGCATTCCAAGCACAGCAAACAACATGGGAAAGGCTCCTGTGGGAAGTAGCTTGGCATGCCAAAAGAAGTTCCGTTTTACTGGCATGCAGAGACCATAGTTGAAAATGAACATACTTCTTGAATTGAGATGAATTTTGAGATTTCTAAGCACTCTGGAAGCTGGATTCTTATCAGCTAAGTTAGGTTGTTATGGTAATACCCTCCAATTTGTCTTGTCTCTCTGCATGCATGCTCTTTTGCCATGTGATTTTGTCCTTCTTCTCAAAAAGCAGTAGAGTCTGTTTCTCTATCTGCTGAATCTGAGCTTGGCTATCTGACCTTCTTTGGCCAATGCGATGATAGCAAATGTCATGTAAGCAGAGGCTCTTGTTGTGGGAGCCCTTCTCGCACCATGTCTATAAGCCGCTCCTGGTAGCACGACTTGAGGATGAGAGGTACTAACGGAAAGAAGCTCCAGCCATACCCACACTCCTAGGATTCCACATGAGGCCAGACATATGAGTGAGACCATCTTAGACCATCCAGCCCTAACCAAACCAGTTCAGACCCAACTAGCCACAGAATCAACTAGAATAAACATTTGCTATTGTTATGAACTAAATGCTTTAGGCTTCCCAAAATTCATATATTGAAATCCTACCCCTAATGTGATGGTATTAGGAGATGTGATATTGGGAGGTAGATGAGCTCATGAGGGTGGAGCCCTCATGAATGGGATTAGTGCCTCTATAAAATATGCCCTAGGGAGTTCATTCCTCCCTTCTACCAGGTGAGGACACAACTAGAAGGCACCAGCTATGAACAAGAAACCCTTCACCAGACACCAAATCTGCTGGTGCCTGATCATGCACTTCCTAGCTTCCAGAACTGTGAGAAATAAATTCTTGTTTAAGCCACCCAGTTTATGATTTTTCATTATAGCAGCCCAAGCTGACTAAGACAGTTATTTTAAGTCACCAAGTTTTGGGATGGTTTGTTATGAAGAGCTAACTGATACATCATCCTTACATCAGCAAACTCTTATTAACTACCTCCTATGTACAAAGCATTTGTTAGGCACTAGGGATACTATAAGAAGTAAAAATTGAAAGGTTATAATCTAGTTGGGGTATTACCCGTAAAAAAGTAACACTGCATCTCCAAATAGTAAATACTAAATGAGTTCTCTCCGTAGTGCAATGGGAATAGGGAGGAAAAAGGGATTCCCAAGGCAGACACATTTCTGCAGGAGTGAGGGCGTCAATTGGTCTTGAAGGGCCCTGATTTAATCTTAGACAACTGGAGAGGAGCAGAGGTGGGATCTCCAAGACAGGAGAAGAATAAAAATAAACAGTCAGGACACTAGTGAACAGTCTGATTTGGCCAGAGCAGAGGGTTAACACGGAGCAATGAGTGATAAAGTTGGAATGGGGGGAAGGCCAGGCTGGTGAGAGCTGGGAAACTGGGGTTAAAATTACCAGATTTAGCAAACAAAAGTGCAGGATGCTCAGCAATATCTGAGACATGTTTAAACTAAAATATTATTTGTTGTTCATCCGAAATTAAAATTTAACTGTAAGTCTTGTGTTTTATCTGGCAACTCTAGTTGGAGTTGCAAACTCAAATGCCTACAGGAGAGCAGGAAATAAAATAAATGAGAAATGGGGCAGGCAACAGAGAGAGGTGGGGACCATGGCAAAACAAGACAAAATTTGTTTCTCTTCATGGGAGCAACGCAAATGCACCTGCCAGGCATTACCAAGTGAAGGTCCAGTGTTTTCAACCTTTCTAGTTTTTCCAAGATAATTTTGAATTTTGGATTTTTATGTGAAATCTCATTGTTTAATATGAATGAATATTTCAATATTTTAAAAGTCCTTTGTGGGACAAACAAAATATGTCTGTGTTCAGCCTAAGGACTGATGTTTTCAGTCTCTATGTTAGGGTCCTAAGTGCCCGGGTAAGAAATTTTTAAATGTAGTAATATATGCTCGTAAAAAATTCACACATAAAAGAATCAAGGTGAATGTGAAAGTTTTCCTCCCCTTGCCTCTGCTGAATCATAATCGCTCTTCTCAGGAGAGTGCCCATTAAGAGTCTGGGCATATATGCCAAGAATTTTGAACTTTATTATGTAATCTGGAGGCTGGAGTAAAACCAGAACCTGCAAATTCTAGATATACATTCTAGTGGACCTTTTGCATATATATGCAAGGAGATACATGTATGATATGGAAATAACGTACAAGGATGTTCATTGCTATGAAAAATTAAAAATATCCTAATGCTCATTTTAGACACTTTTTTTTTTTTTTTTTTTTTGGAGAAAAGTCTAGCTCTGTGGCCCAGGGTGGAGTGCAATGGCGCAATCTTGGCTCATTGCAACCTCCACCTATTCGGGTTCAAGTGATTCTCCTCTCTCAGCCTCCTGAGTAGCTGGGATTACACACATGCCACGACGCCCAGCTAATTTGTGAATTTTTAGGGGAGATGGGGTTTCAACATGTTGGCCAGGCTGGTCTCGAACTCCTGACTGTAGGTGATGGATCCAGCTTGGCCTTCCAAAGTGCTGGGGTTACTGGCACGAGACACCGCACCCAGCCCATTTTAGAGACTTACATAAACAAACTGTGGTATAGTCATATGACAAAATACTATATTGCAATTAAACTGGATGAATTAGATATTTACATATCAAATGGATATTCTCAAAAACATCAAGTGACTGTAGAAAATATATAAAACAAAATATCTTCTCTATTTCTGTTTCTATGTATCTATCCAACTAGTCCAAGTATAAAAACATGGAGCAGATGGAAACTCACCCAACTCATTGTATTAGTTTCCTATTGCTGCTATAACAAATCAACACAAACTTAATAGCGTGAAACAACACAGAAGTCTACAATTGGTAAGCAGGCTGTGTGCCTTCTGGAGGCTCTAAGGGAGAATACCTGCCTTTTCCAGCTTCTAGAGGCTGCCTGCATTTCTTAGCTCTTGGATGCATCTTACCAGCCTCTGCTTCATCTTCACCAACCTCATGCAACATTGTGACATCTCCTTCTCTGCCTCTGACCTCCTGCCTCCCTCCAAAAAATGCCCTTATGATTATATTGGGTCCAGCTGGCTAACCCAGAATAATCTCCCCCATCTCAAAATCCTTAATTTAATTACATCTGCAAAATCTCTTTTGCCATGGCAACATAGTTACAGGCTCCAGGGGTTGGAAAGTGAACATCTTTTGGGCGGGGGAGTGGGGGGACAGGCATTAGTCAGTCATGATAGCATTTAACTGAAGAGAGAAGGAGGAAAATAGGATTGGAGTGATGAACTAAGAGAACTTCATCTGCCAGGTTTTCTTTACTTTAAAAAGCTTATCTTAGGCGAGTGTGGCGGCATGCACCTGTAATTCCAGCTGCTCGGAAGACTGAGGCAGAATTGCTCGTACCCAGGAGGTAGAGGTTGCAGTGAGCCAAGATCATACCACAGCACTCAAGTCTGGGCAATAGAGCAAACCCTGTCTCAAAAAATAATAATAATAAATAAAACTTAAAAAAAAGTTATGAGACAAATATGTTAAATTGTAATTTTATAATTATGGATGGTAGGTATGAGTTATATTATCCCCTGTACCATTCACTATCCTTTTTTTTTTTTTTTTTTTTTTTTTTTTCAGAATTCCAAAGAAGATAGAAATGGGGTTAGGAAGGGAATTTTTTCCCTCTTGCTTCTTATCTTCCTTCTCCGCTTCAAGGTATGTTGTGCTACTGTGTGAATCTACAAGGGAGGAATCAGACTTCGTCTTTTTTCTAAAGACAGAGCAAGACCTTTGTGTTTTAGATCTACAGTGTCTTAGAGAGCAGCTAGGTCAATGGTTGTCAAATTGCTCTGGGAAGCCCCACATGGGGGCAATACTTCAAGAGACTGCGTGGCTAAAGGTAAGGATTTCAGATTCCTCCTGCTCTTACTCCACCTCTTCCGAGCTCACCTTCCCCCAATTAAAGCCCTTGCCTTCACCTGTTTTTCTGTTGAAGTGCCACTTAAGATGTCAGCATTTGAAATGATGATGTTGTTTAATATGTATATGTGCATGTACATACACACACATGTACATACATACGATATACACTCAGAACCACGAATCCATTCCAACCTTCACCATTAAGAGCCTGAGTCTGGATTGAGACAGATGAAGTGACTTGCCTCACATTGAGACTATATAAAAGGTGTTACTATGACTTAGTAAATCTCTTTTATTGGTGGGTCAGAGGCCAAGCTGTTGTAAACCCACAGAGGAAAGCCTTGCAATTTTCCAGTAACTGGAATTGTTTTATCTGAATATATTTCCTGCAGTCATGGATTCCTAGGGCAGGGGTGTGGAACTGAGGAAGGAGGGGGTGTTTCTTGAGGAGGAAAGATCCTTTGTTTATCCTTCTGCCTCAAGATGAATAAAGTAACTGCTGAAAAGGGGGCTATCAGGAAGGAGAGGATAAGTCATAATCTTCCCTTTTTTTGTTTTTTTTTTTAGACAGAGTCTCACTCTGTCACCCAGACTGGAGTGCAGTGGCACCATGTTGGCTCACTGCAACAACTGTCTCCGGTGTTCAAGTGATTCCCCTGCCTCGGCCTCCTGAGCAGCTGAGATTACAGGAACCTGCCACCACACCTGGCTAATTTTTTCTTTCTTTCTTTCTTTCTTTTTTAGATGGAGTCTTGCTCTTCTGCCCAGGCTGGAGTGCAATGGCACGGTCTTGGCTCCCTGCAACCTCTGCCTCCTGGGTTCCAGCAATTCTCCTGCCTGAGCCTCCAAAGTAGCTGGGATTACAGGTGCCTGCCACCAGGCCCTGCTAATGTTTTGTGTGTGTGTGTGTGTGTGTGTGTGTGTGTGTGAATAAAGACAGGCTTTCACCATGTTGGTCAGGCTGGTCTCGAACTCCTGATCTGCCTGCCTCGGCCTCCCAAAGTGCTGGGATTATAGGTATGAGCTACCACACCCAACCCTAATTTTTGTATTTTTTAGTAGAGACAGGGTTTTACCATCTTGGCCAGGCTGGTCTCAAACTCCTTACTTCAGGTGATTCACCTGCCTCGTACTCCCAAAGTGCTGGAATTACAGGTGTGAGCCACCGTGCCCGGTGCCATTTTTTTAAATGTAAACATTTATGGCTGGGCATGATGGCTCACACCTGTAATTCCACAACTTTGGGAGGACGAGGCAGGTGAATCACCTGAAGTCAGGTGTTCGAGACCAGCCTGGCCAACATGGTGAAACCCCATCTCTATTAAAAATACAAAAATTATCTGGGTGCAGTTGCAGGTGCCTGTAATCCCAGCTACGGGGAAGGTGGGGACAGGAGAATCACTTGAACCTGGGAGGCAGAGGTTGCAGTGAGCGGAGATCTTGCCACTGTATTCCAGCCTAGTGACAGAGTGAGACTCTGTCTCCAAAACAAAGAAACAAATAAACAAATTAGCCAGGCATGGTGATGGGTGCCTGTAATCCCAGCTACTCAGGAGACTGAGGCAGGAGAATCGATTGAATGCTGGAGGTGAAGGTTGCAGTGAGCCGAGATCTCGCTATTGCACTCCAGCCTGGGCGACAAGAATGAGACTCCATCTTGGAAAAAACAAAACAAAACAAAAACGGCTTTAGAAATTCTGATTCCTCAGAGCTCCAGTGGACAGAGAGATGTCTGCCCTTTGCCTCCTTTTGTTCTCCCTTGCTTTTGAGAGCGTATATGTGTTTTCTCATTCTGTCTTTCTGAGTCTGCTTTCTGTCTGCCTGTCTTTTGTTTTCCTTTCATATTTATTATATTTCATTTGAAGTGAAAGGACAGGGCTGGGAGTCATGCCTCCCCAGGCATGAGGCATGTGTACGCTCTATCCCAGAGGAGATTTTCTTTGCCAATTGTGGAATGAAGACTGTATCAAAGTTCAGAGGATCCGCCAACACAGAAGAGAGAAACACCAGATGCTTGGGCCTCTACGCAGAAAGAGCCACCAGCCAGTCCCACGATACCTGCGTGGCAATGTGATGTGCTGTGCAACGTGCGTAAGTTGTGAAGAGCCAGCATCTACTTCTGGAAGCTATCCTTCCGAAGTTTCTGAAAAAACTTTCATCAGCACCTGTCAAATGACTTGATTTCTGACTGAAGAGCTGCATGAAGATGTGCCTTCAAACCGGTCTTTGTACATTATGTTCAGGCGTCATTGAGAAAAGTGATGACTAACATTTCTTGGACATATACTTTACTGGATATTAATCTATACTGGGCATTTGCAGACTGTAGTGGAACCCATGGGTGGCCTCCTCAACTTTTATTTCTCCGTTCTTCCTTGCTAATAGAACCCCAATTTTTTCCATCTATTGTTTCCTTTTGTTGTTTTTTGAGACAGAGTCTCACTCTGTTGCCCAGGCTGAAGTGCAGTGGCAGGATCTCAGCTCACTGCAACCTCCACCTTCCAGGTGCAAGCAATTCTTCTGCCTCAGCCTCCCAAGCAGCTGGGACTACGGGCGTGAGCCACCATACCTGGCTAATTTTTGTATTTTTAGTAGAGATGGGGTTTCACCTATTGGCCAGGCTTGTTTCAAATGCCTGACCTCAGGTGAACCACCCATGTCAGCCTCTCAAAGTGCTGAGATTACAGGCGTGAGCCACCACGCCCAGCCAAGTTGTTCTTAAATAGGAAATATAGGCCAGGCACAGTGGCTCATGCCCATAATCCCAGCACTTTGAGAGGCCAAGGCAGGCAGATCACCTGAGGTCAGGAGTTCAAGACCAGCCTGGCCAACATGGTGAAATCCTGTCTCTACTAAAAATACAAACAAAAAAAATTAGCTGGGCATGGTGGCACACACCTGTAGTACCAGCTACTAGGGAGGCTGAGGCAGGTGGATCACTTGAACCCAGGAGGTGAAGGTTGCAGTGAGCCGAGATCACCCCACTGCACTCCAGCCTGGGTAGCAGAGACCCTGTCTAAAAAAAAAAAAAAAAAAAAAAAAAAAAAAGTATAATGAAGTGGAATAAAGAGTGGAAAACCTCCTTCCTCCTCAACTCTTGCATAATTGCTAATGACCTGGTATTTCTGGAAGTTACGTTGGGGAAAAGATGTTGATAAGTAAGAGGTCATCCAGAGCTCATTCTGTCATTCAGAGTATGCTGCTTCTCCTTCTGGGCACAGTCCATGGCTGTCCTAGAGGCTGCTGTCAAGGTTGGCAGAATGCCCAGTTTTCTTTGGTGCAAGACTACCTGGGTTCAAATTATGGCTCCCCAGCTCCAGTCTGAGAAGCTTGGGGCAAGTTACTTAAACATTCTGTGTCCCAGTGCCTTCATATGTAAAATGAGGATAACACTAGATCCTACCCTGGTGGGATTCTTGTAAAGATTAAATGAGTGAATATATATAAATCACTTGGAATAGTGCCTGGCCTATTTGTAAACTCAATTTTAGCTGACACTATTATTTTTTTCTTCCTACACCTACCATTATTAATAGAATAGACACCGATACTTGAAATCACAGTCTCCATGCTCCATATGTTGCTTCAGCAGAGGTTAATTCTCCATTCCTAGAGTTTGCGGCTAGTACCACTGGGTGCAAATGAGGGCAGCCCAAAGAAGGGAGCCATTCACAGACTGGCCTGGGGGTGTCCTGAAGCCAAATGAGGATGCCTTCCTTGTTACTTCAAACTCTAAAGGCTGAAAGGTTACGGGCTGTTTTCACAACAGAAGCACCTACAACGGGTGGGTGCTGTCTATGAATGGCTCTCTTCTTTGAGCTGCCTTCATGCTACTCCTTTTACATGTTAATTACAGTATGTACTTCCTGAAACCCCTCACACTGTGCCTAGGACATATAGGTGCCTAACACATTTGAGCCACAACACTATGAACTCACCAGAGAAATCACTTTATGAAAAATAATAGCTGTCATTCACATATTTCTTTATAAAGCGTTTTCCAAAACCTTATTTGTTATATTGTCACAGCTTCTTTGATTATAAGGCAGGAAGGAAAAAAATCTTACTATATCCAGGAAACAAACAAATAAACTGAAGTCGAGTGGGCTTGAGTAAACCGAAGGTTTGTCCAGTTAGTGGAAGTTCAGTCTCCTGAATTCAGGTTTCAGGTTCCAAATCCCAGGTGTTTCCCATTGCCTGGGGGAAAAACTGGGAAACTGTTGATTCCTCTCCTCCCAATGTCCCCTGTTTTGCCCTCTGCTCAGTCAAGCCAGATATGGGCAGAACCACCTTTTAGAGAAACCATAACAAAGCCACCCTTCTCTAAGTGAGTCTCACTGCCAGTGCAATAACAAGCCACTCCACACAGTCAACAATCATGATGGAGGAGGTGTCAGGAACTGTGCTACGTGCTGGGGACTTAAAGAGGAATGTCAGGCGAGGAACTGCATTCTAGCACACCTGAGAGAAAGCGTGAGGTGTGTGCTCCTAGAAACAGGATAGGAGGCAGCACTGGCCAGAATAAAGGCAAAATGTCAACAAAAGCTCAGAAACACGGAAAATCATAATGTAAATAATGAAGAAACAATTGCGAAGAAAGCTGAACTTACTTCCAAGCCTCCCTCCTCTGTCTCCATTCCCAGGATTCCCTGTTAGGATGTCTTAAGGCTAAAGAGATCTTGTAAAGCTTGACCATTTCTTGAGCTAGAAGCAGCCAGGGAGATTTCCTCTTTGAGGGCTTCCTCCTTACCTGGACAGATCGGGGACTACTGCAGTGTATTTGGGGATGGAATATGGGAAATAGGGAGGAGAGAATCGCTGTGTCTGTCATCTCTATAGACTAAGCCTCAGAATCTCTTCTGGCTTGCCTATGAATTATTGGTTTTATATAATGGTGTCAATCTGTCTGTGCATTTAATGTGAGAATTAAATCATTCCATTACAGCACTATAAATCAAAGAGTGAATGGAGGGAGATTTCCAAGTGACTCCTCCCCTTCACGGGGGTTGTGGGGGGGGCGGGAAGGAACACCACCACCACCATCACCAGGTCCACCACTCATAGGACTCTACCTCTTCAAAAGGGTGCAGCCTAGGTGGGATATTTTTGTTCTACTGTCATAGAGGGACTAATTGTTAGGTTAATAAGAAGGGTTCTAACTCCCAGAAATAGAAGGAGTTTATTTTGCAGTAAGCAGGAAGCCAATGGACCCCTACCCACTGCCTATCTCTGTTCCCACCAGCTTCCCTACTCTGATATCTGAGCCCGCATCAGTCCTCAGTGACCAGCTTACCAATGACCTGGCAGCTGTTCCTCCTGTAGAAAATTCAGTTCCATTTAGTGCCAGCTGGACAGCCCAGCTGCTCCCAAGGATGCTCCCAGAAGCTGTTTCCCATGTTCTGAGATGTCTTGGTGTCAAACGAAGTGAGGGCTCCATCCTAACCGCATTGGCTGACCACTAAGCACTGATGGGCCTAAATTAATCCTCGCCACAAGCAAAAAGACAGCTGTAATGATTTCCACCACACAAATAGGGAAACTTAGGCTCAGAGAGATAACGAACCTTCCCCAGGGTCATATAGCCAGCAAGTGACTGGGCCGAATTTCATCACAGACCTGTCTGGCACTGAAACCAATGCCTTTCCCGCAACATCATGTGGCCTCTTGGTATTTTTGGCACCACATGGATAAGGACTTAATATTCTCGTACACCAATGCCAGCCAAGGCAGGGGACAAACGTTGCTTGTTTGTAACCCCTCCCCCTCT